GAGAAAACTCAACTACTATTTCTTAAATCACCTTGGGCGACCTAGGATGGATAAGTTCTTGTTCTAGAATTATTGATGGCTCTGAAGATGATGTATATCGAAAGTAGTATACTTATGCTATGAAGGTCATCTTTACTGGCTGAAATAGTTATCTAGAAAGTTATGCTATTCTATTATATTTTGTGCTACTCTTTTATACTTTACATTTTTATTTATATATTAAACATCCATATATAATTACTCAACATAGTCACCATTTTATTTACAAATAATCATTCAGCCCAACTTCAATCATTTATTTCTCTTTACATCCAATCTGTTCTCTAGGTCTACCCCACAGCAATGGACCTCTCATATTCTGCCCTTTACAGACTTGCCTGGGCTACGCTTTCTTGTGGCTAGTGATCTGCTCCAGGTCTCGGATACGTCTTCCGATCTGCTGATCGTCGTCGGCTGCGATGAAGCACCTGATTGGACCTCCTGCCGTCTGACCTGCTGTCAGGCTGGTCTCGAGCATGTCTTTGACTCTAGACCCACTTCATATGCTGCCAATGACCTCTTTCACTTTCGTCATCGGACTCACAAGTCAAATGCGGAGTCTCGAATTCTGCTTGATCGATCGCGTGAGAGATCTCCTTTTGCTCTAACCGCTCGGGAATGTGCTGGCCCTCAGGTTTGTACTGACACTTAGACCTTTGTAGGGCTGTTTCTATTACAAATTCTAAAAAGGCTTATTGTTCTAGTTTAACACTTCTTTAATGGTATTATCGAGCCTGGTTTACTAATTCAAGTTGGATTTTTTCTAAAAGGTATCAGCAAAGGCTAACTACATGGTCTTATGCATCTATAAACTTCTTGACTACTGCATCAAAAAGTTGCCTTATTTTATCGTTACTAATCTTTTTCTTTTTGCGTAAGATTCAATCATCTAGCCCATTTTGATTAAATGACCACAACGGACTGAGGTTTTTTAGATTGTCTAAGTTTATCTTCCACATGAACATGTGAATTTTCCCAGTTTTTTGGTTTGTGACCCATTCAAATGCAATGCTTACTTTGAACTTATCAATTTGTGTGTTCCTTAATATAGGATAGGATTGAATTAGTAAGCATGGTATGTGATCAAAAAATTATCCTTATTCTCACTTGCAGCTTTTCTTATGATCATGGAGCTCTTTAAGGAATGACATCTAATGATGAATATCTATCTAGATTTATATTCACTTTCTAAGTTCAATCAATTATTTTCCCAGTTATAATCTGCGCATATTTAGCAAAACTGCCTACATAATATCAAATTTTTTCGTTTGAATGTCATTTACCAAGGTTCACTATCTTCATCAGTTTCATTCTCCAAGTATCCTTTATATTATTCGCCTTATTTAAACTGATAAGTTCTTATGCATTTAATCTGCTAGGTAGTGCTGTATCCACTTCCTGAATTTACAAATAAATTCCAATAAACTAGTGTTCATCGTTGTTCTAAGTGCAGCTTTTCAAATATTTATGCATCTCTTCGTTTCAGGCTTCATGACTTTCGGTATTTACGCTAAACCTGTTTGCCTTATTTCTTATATGAATATCTTTAATTACTCTTGCAATGTTCTTCTTTTGTATTTATTTGGCATCTTTGTTCTTAAAATCGTTTCATCTTTACTTTGGCCCTCACTAGGGCCCAGCCGATTTCAAAATTTGCTTTCAGTTGCTTTTATATTAGTTTTGGATAGTTTACTATAATTTTCTCTTTACTATCAGTCATTTAATTTTAGCTTTTATTTCATATTAAAAGTTGGATGAAGGGATTTTGTCTGATTTCCTAGGATTAGGATAGATAGATCAAGACCATCATTCTCACTCTAAAATTTCAAGGTGCCTATCGCCATTCTGCCCACGATAATTAGTTTTTACGCCGAATTTTAGAGACCTATCCAATAAATGAGTGCTTATTCACAGACGATTGCAGTTTCATATTATCAGGGATCTAATTATCGGGAGCTGCGAACTAAATATAGATAGGGCGGAGCTATGAAGAATAAGATAGTGCGATATCTACTTGGCCGTGGTCTCCTTTCGTTGTATAAAAGTAAATAATCAGAAATCAAGCGAAGACGTTTATTTTGAGTTTATTCAAACTAATTGAGTGCAATAGTTGGAGGAGTTGGTACACGAGTGACTAGGGCATAGGAACGTCATCGTTTTGGCATTATGTTTAGAAGAGCAAGGTCAATTCGACCAGAACTATACTGAGGCGAGGACCAGGGACATTTGGATTACGGTACCCGGGTTTGGTCCTATAATTGGTTCGTGTAGGTAAGGACTTTACCGTGAGATTTTTCCAGTACAGAGACCAAATTGAAGTAAGTCTGTGTGAAGTTAGTCTTTCAACTAGCTTTAGAATCCGGCCTTCGGGGACCTGATCTGCGAGGCTAGAGTATACCTGGTATCAAACGCTTGGGCAGGTAATGGGAACTGATGTATCGGGTAGAAAATATATTGTGGTAGTGATCGATTGAAGTCACTGCACTGAGAAGACAAGATAAAGATGTTCCAGGGAACGAGTGACACTTTAGTACCAGGGACAGTCGATTTCAGATTTAAATTGCCAAATTCGATCAAAATTTACAGAGCAAGGGGGATGAGGAAACCAGCGGAGTGTGTGGATAGCCCCCACTGAATTCGCTTAAAAGGGCACTCTTCTGAGATCAAAATAGGCAAATCAGAAGTTGTGGTAGCGAAGGGGGAGATATAGGGGA